CTACTGATGATGAGTCAGAACATTAAGTAGTTGTAGTTTTAACGTAAAGTCGCAGCCATAGGCAGGCAGGCAGGCAGGCAGGCAGGCATGGAGGGAGGGGAGGGGAGGGAGGGACTCGGGGGGAGGAGGCCGGGGAGAGGTAGAGAGAGAGAGAGAGAGAGTTGGGACTCGGGCGAGGGGGGGAGGGAGAGGGGGGAGAGGGGGGAGGGGGAGGAGTATCGTTATTATTGTCAGTATGTGTATCGTGGACATGAAGATGCAGAATGGCTATCTATGGCCGTTGTTGTGGATTCTGGGACAGTGGAGACAACGAGATCGTGGAAGCGCTTTGAACCTCGGGCATTAAAGAGGCATGGAACCCTTCGAAATCACGCCACTAGCGTACAAGAACTCCAACAATACGGTTACCCCGCATGTCAGCCGTAGAACCGGGAAACCGGCCGGAACTACTTCTACCCCCGCTGCAGGAGCTGCCGCTCCTATTCATACATGCCCGCCTACAGGACGAGCCTTGGCGCGCGCCCATTGGTCGCTCCCTGTAATCTGCTGGACCTCCGATGCATCACCATGCCCGCCATCGGGTCAATCGGTCAACCCTCGGCAAAACCGGTCTCGGACGTCACCTAATTCCTTGTTCTCGTACGAGGTCTGTACATGCTCCTGTCTGGCCATGGCCCCATGCCCATCGCCACTCTATCTATAGCAGCGAGACTAACTTTGTCGCCTGCCATGCTAACCTACAGTAATTACGGCGGCCCCCGGTTACTGTAGTAACTGTACCCAGGTAAGCTTGTCCCGGCCAGGGCTCCAGGTTCAGCCTCTCATACTGCGAACTGAGTCGACTGTCTCACTGGCGCTCTGACCAACCCTCTGACTCTCTGACACACTCTCCCCCCATCCCCCCCCTCACTCACTCTCGCACCCACACACACAGTCAGTAGGCATGGCAGATCTTGTTCGCACTGTGTGTGTGCAAACAGATTTTGTTTGCACTGTGTGTGTGCAAACAAATTCTGGTACTACAGTGCTGCGAGCGCCTTGGACCTGTTCGTTCGTGGGGCCTTCTGGTAATTAGTACAAGTGAGTGAGTCGTGGTCGGGGAGCTGATGGGATGAGCTGAGATGAGCTGAGATGGGTGCGAGGGGGGGAAGGGGTGAGATGATGAGAAGAGAAGCGAAGCGAATCGAAGGAAGGAGAGAGAGAGAGAGAGAGGAGAGGGAGAGAGAAAGAGAGATATGGATAGTTAGATTTGGAAAGCGAGCGGTCTGGACGTGTCAGTGATGAGCAAAGCTCAAAAGATAAGCAGCAGCTGCACTTTATGTGCTATACTTAAAAACTCTGGACGAGCTCTGAGGGTGCAAGCTTGTCAACTCTTAATATTTTTCTATGTTGCATACATGTTCCAGATTGACTGACTGCCAATGACGCCAGGCTGAGCTCGCTTAAATCATTCTCATCATCTTTGCACGCTCAATAATTGAGACACAGTAACGGGGCATGGAACCATATCAATACCTTTCGCTGCTTCCACTACTCCCCCCACTCCTCCCGCTGCTACATCCCTCGGAGCTCATTGGATCCTCGATGCATCACCCTCCGTAATCCCTCTTTCATTTTTCAATTCTTGACCACCTGGATAAGATCTCGCTTTGCATGTTTCCTGAGCATCATTCTTGTTCTGATCTTGCGCTCAACAGGACCTTTCGCAGGTAACTGGCTGCCTAACCGACGCATGGAGGGCGCGAGGTCGAGATCCACCACAAGCAATGATTATCGGTGCACTGTTGAAACCACCGATATTCCAATTTCCAGTCGAGATGGAAGTAATATGCATGTGTGAGTAGCAGTCAGTTACCGATAGTTATCGACCTCCAATTTCGAGCGGCTTATCTCGCATCATGTAAAGCGAAGCATTGTAGTTGACTCGATTGGTGGGAGACCAAGTGGACTTATTAAAGACCCCAAAGTGAGGTGCTAGTTGAAGGAGTGTGTCATAAGCCTAAACCGACAACCAAGTGGGCTCGAGCGATGATGAACGTTTTGATGATCCCAAAAACACTTCTGAATTTTACATCCAGACGTCTTGGCCTCAAATATTAAGAACATCGATGTAGTGGCGTTGTAGTACCGATATGCTCACTAACAGTCAATTTCATTAACGACTTTGTTGCGTTGTAAGTAGTTATAGGAGTGCGATGACTATTGAGCCCAATATGCCAACATGCCGAACAGTGTCCTGTTTTTATGACTCGCTTGTTGTGTTCTAAGAAGACAAAGGAATTTAAACCTACGCTGGCAGCAATGCACCCTCTGGTTTCTCCACTGTTTGGAACGAATTTTCCTCTTGATCCGGTCAAATTTTTAGCTTCTCTGAAGATTGTTACTTTGCAGGCAGGCGTGCTGTTAGTTTTGTTGGTTTCTCCTGGATTTAGTTGAGGCATTGTTGCATATACGATGCAGTCCATCGATAGCCATTTTTTCCCCCCAACCTAATTATTGATAAATCGGAAGCCCCGCAAAATATGCAGAGGGACTTTATGGCATAGAATTCGTGAGAGGTCATTCGGCCATACTCAGCACATTTCAACCATCCAGATCGATCATTGACCGGAAAGCTTGCCATCAAATATCTGCAGAGAATCACTGTTGCCCTCCCAACCAAGTCTAGGTTCCAATCAAACGACTGCAGAGAATCACTTTCGCCTTACCAACAAACAAAGTCGAGGCTCCATACAACTTCGAGGTGGCAGTGTGGCACATTCACTACATACCAATGATTGCAGGCCATGAATCGTGACATGCTTCCCTGTAATGTAATCATGTTATCTGATTCTTACGACAGATTCACTCAATGATCCTCCACTACATATCAACTCTCTATGCTCTTTCAACATTGCATGAAGGAGTTGGCCTTGAAGCCCTCGACTACATACATAGTTACAGTTGAAGTGAACCACTCCCATTTTCTCTCTGTTTCTCCCGTGAAGAGCTAAAGTAGCAGCCCCGCTAGGTTTGGCAGGGTCTACGAGGTGTCGAATTTTTCCTTAAGAGGGATAACAAGAGCATATCAAAGTCTGTGCGCATGACCTGATGATATTCTGGAAATCTGATTCAGGTCCAATCTGCATCAATGAAGGTACCTATGATATGGCAAAGGAGTAACGACCCTAACAAGAGGACGCCTCATAGCACTTCCATCAGGTCGGCGGATTGGCTAATCTGTTGCAAGAGTGGATGGATCGAGGGAGTTAAGTGCCTGAAAAGGCAAGAGAGACTTTTGTTGTACGTGCAATGCCACAGCTTTTCATGTGAGATCAAGACCGGTCCAAGGAGACGGATAATATCTCGTTTGCAGCCATATCTAGCATCTTTCGCATCCACTATTCAGTTTTAGTTTCTGGATGTAGTAAGAACCTTTCTGCTGGCAAATTCTTTCTGCCATCTCTCCCCAAAAAAATCCCGATTTTGTCTCAGAGAAGGATGTAGACAGTCTGTGACATAGACTCATCTTTTCAGAATAATGAACGATCTTTCGCAGCGCTCCAACATCCACTGATCTCTTTCGCTACCGAATAAGGATGGGTGAGTTCTGACTTGATCCTGACCACGAGAGGAACACAGGGTGCTTCTCCCACTGTCAAGAGTGAGCTGCTGTCCCAATAGAATCACAAGTGAGGCGATTGAGACTTTTGTGAAGCCCTAATACGATGCGTTCTTGAACTCTGGCCTTCTTGATGAGAAAGTAAGGCCTCTGGACATGTGTGAGGCCCATCCCTGCTTCTTCAGATTCTTAAAGTAAACCATCTACTAAATATCGGAGAACTGCGGCGCTGTGTTGATGGTAGTGTTCAGAAGCAACGGTGGTGAAGCCCTAGCTTTTCAGATCTATGTATCATGACAATGTGCATCTCTGCAACTCGGTTCGCTGTTCAACACCCCATCCGCTCCACCTGTGGCTGTATCTGTGCAATGCCTACAATCGGATGACGGACAGGTAAAAGTGATAGCATCACCTTTAGTTCGGATCGACGAGTTGATGGCTTAAGTGCTTCTAATCAGTCGTACCAGTCACCCACCTGTGCAGCACCTGATGTGTGGAAGTTCTGTGGAGGTTCTGGAGAGCCGACAGGAGGTTTGTCTTCTGCTTTGTTGCAGATGAGTCCACTTGTATGTCACTATAAAGCTGCTAAGGGTCCGTGTTAACTCAAGGGATTGTAGGGGGTTGAAGATTTATCCATTGAGGGACTTGACCACATATCCGAGACTTCATTACTGACAACAAAGTGTCAGCAAACAAGTTTTTATTTATGGCTACTAATGGCTACTACAAACATTATTTCGGTAGAGTCAAGTCCCTTCCATCTCCTGAAGATTTTGAAAGGCTAGAGTGGGAGGGAGGGAGAGTAAGAACGGCCGAGGAGGACGAATCAGAGTGTGACGACCATTCCACGGTCCAGAGCTACCGCAAGTTGGGTCCCATGCTCAGATTTGCTTTGTCAATCAGAGTCCATTCATGCGCTTCAGAGTCCAGACAGTGATAGCAGACCCGACTGACAATGTTGCTGGCAGCAGTGTCAAGCTGCCATTGTACCTCTGAATACTTCCCCGAATACTGTAGATGAACACCCTCTGATGTAGCACCATAGCCCTGTCAGACCCCTAAGATTCGTTCTATCCTGCACAGTTCGGTAGTTGACAGGAGATATAGGTTCGCTTGACCATACACATGGTACAATTAAGACAAGGAAACCAACTCCCACTCAACTAAGGCAGGCAGACGTCGTAGGTTATTTATTGAAAATTGTACATGAGGGTGGGGCTGTGGCGCAGTGGCCCCGACTAACCATGTCGATTCGTGAGGAGCCCTGGACAGGTCCATTTGTCCCACGAACTCCACGGATTCATGGACATTCAATCTGCAGGAAGTGCTGGCATTCGTCTAAGTCACATACGTATACTCGCAAGTGACGGCAATGGCAAACAACGGAACAGAGATTGGCAGAGACTGAGAAAAGATGTAGGGGGAGGGAGAAACATGTCTGAGAACACGGACGCACATTTGGAAGAGCGACAGTTTCAGTGGACTTGAGAGCGTAGAAGTTTTGCATAAATTTATATATACATGACAGCAAGCTTAGTTTTTACTTTGGACTTCGATATGACATTTTTCATAGTCACAAGTCACACACTGCTCCATCCACGCACTACTGGGAAGGGACGAACAATCGGCTGGTCTAATCTCTTTTTCCTTTGGTACGGACACTCCTCTCTCAGAAACAAAGAAAAAAAACAAAAAAAAGGATGATGTGTGGTACATGGTCTGTGCAAGTCTTTCTCGCTGTGTCCCTGAAAAAATCAAGTATACTCCTGCCTAAAACGTTCTTATGCATGGTCCACGCTTCTGATGGTCGTAGGTCCATAACACGATAAACCTTGCTTTTGTCTGCACTTCCCACTTTTCGACAAATGTGCGCTGTATGACGATATTCCCAGGTAGGAGGAACTGAAGGGTCGCTTCCGATAGGCAGGTCTACTTTCGATGTTGTGCACACCAACATTCAAATACAGAGCAAATCTGCTGCTTGATAAAGAATGATTTTGTAAGACTCTCAATCATGTCAACTATCTGAAAATCTTTGAAGTTTTCCTAAGCATCTTCAAAGTCTGACGAATGTGACTAACATGACTCTCTCGCTCAGGCTTCTCCCCTTTTTGCCCTTCCTTGCCTTTTGCTGCTTTTTGAGCTTCCTTCTCTGCCTTCCTCGCAGCCTTATCTAGCTTGTGAGGTGGCTTCTTGTCGGCCTCTGGTCTGTGGGCAACTATTTGCAAGTGATTTGATGAAGTCTCTTGCTGTACCCCGTTTCCATTACGATCATGAGATTCATGCTGTTCCCTCAGAGGAGTATGCACCATCTGCTGGGGTAATCCATACGTGGTCCGTTGTTGAACACGCGGGTTTTGTGCCTCATTCTGCGACTTTTGCTGAACTCCGTCATACACAGGACCCTGGAAGACTGTAATGCTCCTCGGAGGGGTAGCCTGGGCAACCTGAGGAGTAGCAGCCGCCTCGTGTCTCGGCCTTGCGGAAGCATGGAGCTGCTGTTGCTGAGATGGAATGACGTGATTATTCGGCCTTGACGTACTTTGAAACTGCTGCTGCTGAGAGATTATAGGATTATTCTGTCTTGGAGCGCCATGGGGCTGCTGATGCTGAGAAGGTACGATCTCATTCCTGGCTTTGGAGGAAATTTGAAGCTGCTGTTGCTGGGTTAGAACCATGTCGCTCCTCGCCTTGGAAGAGTTTGGAACCTGCTGGTGCTGCTGAGATGGAATTATATCATTCCTGGCCTTCGTCGAACCCTGGAGCTGCTGCTGCTGAGATGGTAGAACGTCGTTCCTTGGTCTAGGTGTGGCCTGGATCTGTTGCTGCTGGGGTGGAATCGTATCATTCCTTGCCCTGGGCGCAGGGACCTGCTGGGGCTCTCGACCATGCTGAGGTTGGGCAAAACCTGTTGACAGGTTCTTAGCTGATTCAGTTAATCTGGACAGCTCAGCCAACTTCGCCATTTCTGCTTGCCTGGACTTCGACATCTTCGAAGTGGGTAAATCATCCGGCAGTTTCGGATCTAAACTAGCGGGATCAGCTTCGCCAGCTCCCCGCTTTTGATAAGGAACATGTCCACCTATGACCCCCGTCTGTTGTCCTGTGCCAAGGAAGTACAGAAAACCCATCAAGACAGGTCACAAGTGCACCATGTTGGAGATGATCCTGGGTGTTACTTTCATACCGGCAAACCAAACCCTTGACAAAGAGAATTTTTTGGTAAATTTCCCGCCCGTATCAAATTGTTCTTCCATAAGGAACAACCTGGACTAACTAAGGCTGTTCTCACAATAAAACTAAAACATCCTTTTATGTCGTTACACAAGAACTAGGTGAAATCAGAGGTGTTCGTCGACATTTTTCCATAAGCTTAATAAGAACTTTTCCCCGTGCCCTGACGATGTGACGAGGCACAAAAAACAAAAAGCATTCAAAAATGTGCAAACCCTCTCATGAGTCAAAAAAACCCCATTTCGCATAAAGCATGGCAGCCTAGTGACTAGTCAACGCAGAAAATAGCCTCTCTCCAACTAACCTTGATTTGCTACGTATGGTACATGAGGAGCTGATCCGCGACCTGCACAATCAACGACGTTGATAAATCTTAACGTGTGCACATGTTTAGCTATGTCTATTTATCTTATTACTTGCAGAATCGAAAAGATATCATTATCTTCAAAGCCTGGATAACACTGAGTACTGAAGACACATCTGATATAGAGTGCATAGGAGCCTAGAGAAGAGCTTGCGAAGACATGAAGTAAATTAGTATATCCAGGCTCGTCAATTATCACTGAGTGGAGATGGTGACGCACCATTTTGTCCAGCACCGACGGGTCCGGGCTCACGAGGCGACTGCTGTGGTTCTACAGGATGGCCATTTGAAGAGTACCCGTTTGAACCTGGTGAGTGCGGGGGATACCCATTGTGATGCGAGCCTGGTGAGATTGGGGGCTGCTGCCCTAGTGATTGTGATGAATTATTGAGTGGATGTCCTGGAGATCGTGGTGGATAACCCTGTGAAGCTGGGGCATAACTACCATCGTAAGACCCTTTAGGTTGATGGCCCCGATTGGAGTTAGAAGGAGAAGCAGCAGGGGAATACCCAGATGAGAAGTTATAAGCACGAGAAGGATATGATGATGACCTCTGATGGGCTCTCCTCTCTGGTGTATCTTGTGCTCCATCTTCATCTTGCTGCTGTGACATATCACCATAGGTGCCTCTTCTAGCCTGCTCATCAACAACTAACGAAGGAGGCTTCGCTGTCGAAGCATTTGGGTCATAACGGGCACACGGCACAAACGCTTCGGGATAAGCTGACTTTGCAGCTGTCACTTTTAATTGCTGCGATATACACGTAACCACAATATATAAGTACTAAATCACCGTAGACCAACAAAACTTTGACCTCATGTCTACGTTGTTTCCTCCTTGGCCTCGTCCTCGTTGTGACCTACACTGAAATGTGTAATTACCGTGAGCTCTAAGACTGATTCTTCAATGAAGTCACACAACCTAGAAAAGCTAATCCTGTCATCACCTTAATGATTATTGTACCCTTCATTCAACCCAATCTGATGTCATTTCACAACTGAACATTGGACACAAAGACGCGTGACTTGAACTACCCAATAAGAATTTTATAATTTGTAGACATCCGTTAAGTATAAAAAATGACAGACCGCAGGCCAGAACGTACTCGTCTAAGCAAAACGTAAATCAAAGATGTAAACTTACTTTAGAGTCCCATTTCATTGAAACTTTTACATGGCCACTGTAGACGTCATCAGGCCGATTCAAAGAATGCACCGATGTCTCGTCGCCAGATGCTATAACCTTCGATAGAGGTATCCTACAGTACATACAGAATGAACAAGAGTCAGACCGTGAAGTCGGCAAAAAATTTTCACAGCAATCTTCTCGACCAAACTTTTTGGATTGATTGATCTCCCAATCAAACAATCCAAAAGGTTCGGTGCTGCTCTTAAAGCATTATGTACCTCATACACCTTCAAGTATATTCTCTCCTACATTGCAAGGACGGAATGAATGCCACAGTGAAATTATGGGTTATCACAGTTTAGTTGTCAGCAACGAAAATTTTGGACTAACTACACAGAAAAGATCGCATCCGCAAACTTAATCACAGTGTTCGGAGCATGATAATGGTTTAAATTGCGATAGAGATTATTGGCAAGCATCAGAACGCCAGGCTCCAATCGATTAGCACGTGTGGTATCTTCAAGTAAGATTTCCTGAACTAGATACGGCCCGATGCACCTCAATACTATGCAAAGACCGGTAGACGATATACTGATCTCCTAGGCCATGGTTATTTTATGATGTGGGAGACCGACCCTCTGATATCTCAGGAAGATACCCCTTGGATAGAAACAAAGCCAACACAAGAGGAAGTTGTGATTATGGTTAGTTCAGAAGGATCGCATACAGTGACAGTGGGAAAGGGATCTTCAGTATAAGTCCAAAAACATGGCAGACAGATGCCTGTGACTATGCACAACAGGGAATTCTCGACTGATGCACCTTCTGATATCGAGTGTAACTTTACATTACGGTCTTACACTTGTCCATTGCTTGATTCACATCAAGCAAAGGGCAGCTGTAACTTTTGGCTAACCCAGACAGGGAAAATTGGAGGAAGTCCTCCAGAAACTATATTTGAGGTAGCGGACGGGAATGATTAAAAATGGGAAGTGTTCAGTGAAGACGAGAGACCAGTTCTTGCCACTCATGGCCAAAGAAAGGCAGTCCTGGGAATACCCTTGCACATTCGGACCTGTAAGACAAGCTCAAACGCACACCTGTAAAAACGCTCATATGACTGGAAGGTGAACGGGAAATCCGGATATCCAAAGGTCCAAACATGGATGAAAGATGGACAGGATTGGCGTCAGGTGAACAAGATGTCAACTTACTAGAACTCTTCTGCGAGAAAAGAGCACTTACAACCAGATCTCGCCATTACGTCAAGCAATAAACTAGAATGACGGGGTTTGTTCTCCTTATGCCACACTTTCAGAGCAGATCGGGCGATAAGGCATGAGGCAAAGTACGATCAAAGTACATTACCACAATTGGAAACATCAGGTGCATCAATCCTTTAATATGTAAGAAGCTAGTGACATCGGAAATTACTCAGAGTAGTCTGACCGCCAAAGTCTAAGGCCTGAGGGTGCAGAGCCTGGGGCTACTGAATTCGGCATCTTCTACTATTCGAGTCCATTGTCTCGCCCGGAAGATACTCCTCGAAGCTCTCCTCTACCACTGTCCAAAAAAAGGCTGACTAAGAGAAAAAATTGTCTTCCCTACCGTCCGATAATGGGAGGCGGGAATGGAACTTTTCATACCAACACAGCAGGGAAACAAGACTCCGAGAAAATGAGAAAAAAGTGATCCTTCCACTTTCTTTCGAGTAAAAAGTACTGCCACTGTCTAAACGATTGCAAGGAGTCTGAAGCCAGAAGGAGACAATCTTTATTCAGAGAGACAGAACCTGATGACATCGGAGTTTAGCTCCAAGATCATTCGCGTAATCAGATGTCCAATATGTCTGTAACACTCAGACGAGTATTGCCCTTCTCTCCGTTGATCGGTTAATTAATCTGATTAAAAAATCCCTCGATGAATCTTATAAGGTTCCCAGATATGGCTTGAGCGGTGACATCGACCTCTATAAGCAGCTGTGCGTCTTCTCACACAAGTGATTCACTGCACTCGAGAGACCGTCATCAAAATACTCCTGTTGATCGATGGAAATCTGCGGATCTAAGGGTGCCGGGTTATGGCAGTCATTTGTCTGGAAAAAGGTAAATCCTTATCTTTATTCCTTATTCATCCTTGGGATGATCAGATCCTGCTAGGTTTCCCCATTTCCAAGTGTACTTTCCTGGATTGGACGCAGCTCGTATTTTCATAGAAATAACCTACAGGACTGTGCTAGCCACGCTGGAGCCATGGCATTTCATCCTCCGAGGAAACAGTTGATCTTCAATAGATGGATAACGTCGTTCCACGGAGCCTGGAAGCTTCTGCATTAAGGCCAGCTTTTCGAGGACGCCGTTGGAGCACGATCAATTTCGAACCATGTTCTTGCGGGCTATTCTACTCATATTGTGGTAGGAATCTAGACTAACATTCTTTAAAGGGGATCTTTAGAAAATCATCCGCCATTTGGGACTTTGAATTCCATGCCTCAAAGTAAACGGCAGGACGGTCTCACTAACTCAAGGCTGCTAACTTTCTTTCAAGTTTTTCTCCAGCATTGAGTTTCTAGGGCAACCAGACTACAAGAACACAGGATTTGGCAATGTAGGTTGACATCAAGACAGCCTTGTGCCACATATGATTCACATAAAAAAACAAAGAAACTGCAAGGTAGACGGGCCAGTTGCTATCGGCGTGACAATTCATGACTTCGGGCTACTTACTTGGCCAGACCGAGAAGTTCATCCAGCCTCGGCTTCTCCGCAAATATTTCTACAAGAATATGCTGGGCTTCCAGCTCGTTATACTCCTCGAACTGAAAGGTGTGGCTTTCGTTCCAAGAAGGACGCGTTTCATGGTCTGAGCGAATCCAACCACAAACACTGACACGTCAGAACGCTTAACAGGAGTGCCAATCAGTTCGACACTACAATGTACAAGGCGTGAGAGGCGGTAGATTCAATGATACATAGGGAGAAACGTGAGATTAGGAATCAACTGCAGTGTGGTAGGCAGGTAGGCAGGTAGGCAACGAATTATGAAGGTGGTCTTACTTGTGACAGTGTTTGTGTTGAACTGATGACTGCCACACACGACAGATGCATACGCGTCGTCTGTAGCTGCATCACAGAAGGACGTTACCATTCACCTGTCAGCCCTCTGCCCTAAATAACTAAACACCCCACCATACTGGAAATCAAATCCTCTGTAAGCGCCTGGGTACGCTCCTGCCCAACTACCACTGGATCAACATTACTCTCGACTTCTCATCCACTGTCCGCTCCGCTGTTTCACAGTGCCCAATTGAAGATCCACGGCATCCCGCGTTTTTCAGGCCTCCGTTCGGGCCATGTAATGCATCTGTCTACACCCATCTTCGTGTATCCGAACAATGCAGGTGCAGTGGAGAAGAGTAGAGAATTCACATAATGCGAAAGAACAACCAGAGAGCCTGTCAGCGACCTCGGCGATTGGCCATCAAGCCCGAAGGAATCTACCGACCTGCAAAATTCACTTACCACTATCGGATCCACCATCTGTAGCATTAAGCAGATTCGCAGAGACTACGGTCACATGCAGCAAGCCCCCTGGGGCCATGGCCGCTGTCCTTCTGCGCAAATCGATGCTACTCCAGTCTGCTTATTGCTCTGCTTCTACCCTTTGGTGCACCGAGTTTGCTCTGCCTCGTGGTGCACCGAGCTCACCCTCGCTAACTTGCACCGCGCATTCCAATCAAACAGCCTCGGAGACGATGCTGCTGCTGCTGATGAAGATGGTGGTGGAGGTGTGGTGGTGGTAGAGGTGGTGGTGATGTTAATTATGATGATGATGCTGTTGATGGAGATGGAGATGGAGATGGAGATGGTGACGGGTTTGATGTTGCCGATGTCGCTCTTCTTCGCCCTCCTCCTCCTGCTTCTGCGTCTGCATCCGGGTGCGACGAGCTCTGGCTGCCCCGCGAGCACCAGCAGTTCCAATCCAGAAGCAGGTTTGCTGCTTCCACCGCTTGGCACCCCGAGCGTGCTCGTCCTCGCTGGTACCTCGCAAAACAATCTCCCCCCGAGCTCGCCATTGACCCCCTTCTCCCTCTCGGCAGGCCGTATGCACCGTGGGCCCAATCCCCACCGAGGCCTTCCCGCAATCGTGCACCAAAGTGTCCACCCGCACCGCAACAAAACCAGTACCTCGCGTTGACGATCCGCAGCAAGAGTATGAGCGAATCGCCCATTTGCACCATTTCCTGCTAAAATAATATATTCCGCGCTCGCCCAACACCTGACCTCGAACCAGGGTTAGCCCTCCGTCGACCTGTCGCCTTCTCCTTTATGGCCGCGCCCTCCGAGATGTCGTCGCGACCTCGCCCCCATTCGCACATTCTTATTTTCGTCCCGCTCGCCTTTATCGCCTTTATCGCCCACGCTCCGCTCTGCAACGTTTAGGTGCGCTCGGCCTATTTTCGGCCTCCCCCCGCCAACCGTCCGCCCGCGCCATCGAGCGCAGCCCTCTCGTCACATGAACGCTCTCGCTCCACTGTTCCATTCCGTCTTGCCCTGCTGTCCCGGTCACATGGCTCGACGAGGCGGACTTCCGCCTTCTCGCTGACCGACCATCCTCGGTTCGGACATCGACCTCGCCCCGCTCACTCCTCGCTGGAACTCCCGTCGATTTCTGTCGCGCATCTCGTCGACATTCACTTCTCCTCCTCCTTCCGACTTCCATCCCCCTCCCGCGTCCTGACTCGGGCCTGGAACTCTGTCCTCCTGCGGAACTCCTGAATCCGCTCCTCGGTGACATTCTGTCCCTCCTCCTGCGCATCTCTCTCGCTCTCTCTCGCTCTCATCGAGGCTCGACCTGACCGACCTCGGGTTAAGAGAGATCGGCCGACGGGACCGCGGGGGGGCCTCGGGGCGAGGAGCGAAACCTTCCAGGACACGGGGGGCGATCGCAGCCTCGTGGTCGCCGGGACTCCGGGTCGAACTGCGTTGTCGCCGACTGCGTCGACCTTGCGGGCGACGCCACCGCGGTCGGCTTCACTCGAGCGTTTACTTTCGGACATCCGAACTCAACAGTCGAGCGTCGACTGTGCTCCGCCGGTCTCGTGTTCTCATACCGAAAGAGGTGCACAGACGATCGGATCGTCTGATCGGAGGATGGGCATTATGCCATCCGATCTGCATTATGAGCCGAGCCTCGAGCTTTCGCCGCTGCCTGTGCTGCGCTGGTGGCCCCGCAGGGACTTCGCCTTTTTCCTCCTCTGCTTGCATTCCCCTCTCGAGCGTCGCCCTGCCCTGCCCTGCCCTGCCTTGAGGAATAGGCGCTGGAGAGCGCATTGATTGCAGCCCTCAGAACAGTGGTCATTCGACAAGCAGGCATATCTGAGTTGGTGCATGTGTGTGTCTGCCATGGCAGCATCTTCCTGCACACCGGAACCATGCAAGCACTTTGCTGACTGACTGGCAGGGAGATTCTGGAGAAAGCATTTTCTTTCTTGTTTCTCTTGCTATAATTGGACGTCCGGAGTCCTGAATTGAAATCGGTGTTCTGTTTTGGTTTCATCACGCCAATTAAAAGCGATTCTCGTAGGTCCCGATAATCCTGATTCGAATTTCACTCTCGGTCCACTTCGAATAATATCAACCTAGAGATTTGGGCCTCAAGGTTAGGATTGTACCCTTGCATGAAGACTTTTTTCCGAATATGTTTTAGTTTCGCTCGAAGTCCCTCCCTCAAGCACTTATACTTGACGCTCTGTGATGAGGAGGCCATAGACCTAGGATTCTCTTTGCTTTATTTGCCTCATACTCATCTTCTTAGTCGACCATGGAAGTGGCTTTACGTTCAAAAGGTCCAGCGAAAAGCTCGTAAAATAAGGATAAAATCTCTATTTAATATCTTCTTTTTTTTTTGCTTCCATGACTCACCAGAGGCGGTTCTCTATCCTCATTCTAGTTTACAAAAGTTTGCAAAAGCTTAGGGAAAACGCAAAATGTCCGGGAAATATTTCCTCAAAAGTCTAGAAATTCCGGGTGATGTCAAGAAAGGTCCTGTGACCCTGAGTGAGAAAGTCTCCTAGATTATGTTGCACACAGCAAATCCAGTACGTAGATTACTGTAGGGAAAACATGTATGCGGAAGGTTTTGGATTCAGTATGTTGCAGTTGACAGTTGTAGTTGGCGGAAGATACTGTGAGCACTGTATCATGAACAGATTTGGCTATCATATTTTGCATGTTACTAGGGTTCTGTTGTCTTGTGTCAAACACAAGGAGCTATCTTTAGTCCCTTCTAGTTTCTTCCTGTAGCATGTAATTTTCTTCGACACAGGAGTATCTTTGGTTTCGTGAGGGACATTTTACGACCCCTATTATACTCAGTTCGAGAACGATCTCACCTTCAGGCCAGCCTTGCTTATATCAGAGACACAAATGATCCACTCCGTCAAATCCAGTTGAGAGCCTCCCATCAATCACAAATGAAAGAGGGGCACGGGCCTCTAGGTGCCTAGGACGAGCAGTATATCTTGTCTTTGATTATCATGAGCACCGCCTGCTGAGATAATGTAAAGAACAGAACAAATGAATGAATGAAATTAGTGGTCGCCATGTGACTAGCAGCGCCGGAAAGTGGAAGTTTTAGAGGCCCTCGGTTCCTCCTTCATTCAATGATTGTGTGGAGAACATGTAAGTAAATGTTCGCCCCATTCCGTAATTTTATTCCATCAACTAAGCATACACTTCAGCACTCAAGAATGTTGGCCGCCATGCATCCCATATGAGTGGAACAAGTCGTTCAGACATAAGCTGCAATTTGAAGGCCTGTGTTTTAATATAAACTAAATATTACAGATAAGATAGTACGTGTAGAATAAAGCAGCTCTAGAAGGTGATGTCGTGAAACGCAAAGAGGGCCGTGGCTTTGACGAGTTCAAAACGGAGACTAAAGTCAAATAAGCTGAGACTGTCGTCCGATGACACGAGAGACGAGAAGACGAGGCACTTAATCAAGTGGGAATTTTCTCATGCACCCGCTTTTATGGTTCAATCATTATGATTCCACATTCGTGTACGTTCACTCTTTCCACCCTTAAGGCCGAAAGGCTGGAGTCATGCCAAGGAGGGTTCGAGTGTATGGTACTCGCCAGATATTTCACCGGGGGCCGGCATCCTCTGCCACGAAAGAGACACCGACATGCCAATTAAGTGATCATGAACTGGAGCAGTGAAAAGCAGTAGCATGAACTCAGATATAGTTTCGGTACACTAGAGCTCTCCGCCCTTTGGTGGGACGATCAGGTCAGATACACTGGGACAAACACGTCCGGACAGTCAGTCAGTTGTGCAGTGACACCATCCACCGAGGAAATTCTCCGAGTGTGATGAAGTCGGACGAAGATTCCATCGCCCAGCAATCAAGGGCGAAAAGTTTTTTCCGTTGCCTGCACGAATGGTTTTGTTTTAATGCCACAGAAATGCTTCAACCGGGAGGTGTGACTTTGCAACGCGAAGTTGGGATTCCGGGCGCCCCAAAGCAACGCCAACTTTTCCAGTGCGTCCTGCGTGATGAGTCTGTGTGCTATATGCCAATCACGCCCCGTGGAGAATCCAACAAAATTAGATTTGCACTTGGAGTCCTGGGCTTGCTTGCAGCGGACGCAGCCAGCCAGCACGCAAGACAAGTTGGAGAATATAAAGGACGATCTGCTGGGATTTCATCTGGGCTCCTCGGAGACTTGACTGACTTTAACTCGCAGGACTGTAGTACCGGTACCGCAAGAGTAAGTCTCGTTCGTGGAAAGTTGTGATGGACATCCATCCGTTCAGAGCCCTCTAGCGGAGATCAAGGGGACATCTCGGCAGGACGGGTTTTGACTAACTTTTTAACTTTCAAACAGACCAACTGTTGTAAAGTGTAGACAGTCTCGGTTTTGGGGAATGAGCCTTGAGTGGGTAAAAACATTCGGGCGTTCGTTACGAATTGCCTGTTGATGGAGAATGGGGAAGTGTCTGCTGCCTCATCAACAGACAGCGGAACAATGTCAACGATCCCAGGTTCCAAACGAAGTCATACAGTACTCTTTTGAAGAAGGAATATGGAGCCAGATATTTATACATTATATAAAAGAAAATAGTACCACAAGAACGACCAGAGTCCGAGGGAAATCACCGGCCTTGACAACGGTCATTACGCAGCTTTAGGAGCAGAAGCTAATCACTGTTTTGTGTATTACTGTAATCTGACTCGGAAAGGACCGAGGGAGAACGTCTTTGATAATCGACTCTTGCTTCGAAATAAGTTCAAAATGTTCTTCATTCTGAGGGTAGCGCAACCCACCATCCCCTTGTTGACACAGCCTTGTTGACACAGCCGTGCAGGGGACGCAGAAATCAGGACTTAAGTCACGAAGGATTCCGAAAACTACGAGAGTCTGTCTTTCAATTCCAGATCAGATGCGATACTCTCTGCAGATATAATTTCATTAAACCTTACGAGACCCGGATCAGAGCGAATTTAGGCATTGCTTTTAGTTTGTCTAACAGATACATCCTTTAATCCTCTCGGGTTTCTCAACGTGGCAGCCACGACAAAACAGTTTTGTTCACAAGGACTGCTGCGGCACGGGAGTGGGCCAGGGTTCAAAATTCTCGAAAACTTCACCTGCAATAGAATGTTGATGACAGCCCACAAGAACAAATGAAGTACAACACCTGGTTTGCAGTTAGGCGAAGATCATCTGATATCAATCAAAATCAAGTGGCTGCGTATGGCTATGAGTTAACCGTCAAACAACCAAAAACGGCTACGTAGATATATGCCATAAGACACCCGTAGACGATTCAGAATTCAATATTTCCTGGTCCAAAGACTGAAATGTAGCAGGAGTAGGTCAAATATCTGTCCGTAGATAACTTTTAACTAAGCTTCAAATGGTCATGGCAACCCCATCTTTCTGGTCCTTCAAAAGACATGCCTTCTCTCCGATTCTCGATAGAGTGAATTCATCTTCTGCACTTGCATATACTCAAAGCTGGAGGTCACCCACGATTGATTCAATTTTCCCAGCTAGCTGAGTTGACAAATTTTACTCAAAGATGTAAATATCAAAATCCACAATATAATCACAGGAGTTGAATGAGTTCTATGGACATGAGTGACAACCGCTGCAGCTGTGTGCATATGGCTATCTAGACACGAGGGAAACTGAAGCTCATCAAGTATAGTAGGATATCAAGTGCCGTGTCCACTCATAGGTGCTTACCGACATATGTTTACCATCCAATGCAGTAACATGTTACTGTACTTTTGTGGGTCACGTCTACATGGACAGCTACGTTCGAAGACTTGATATAGAAAACATCACTCTGTTCAAATCCTTCTTTCCACTTACCAAACTTGGCCCGTCCAACTGATTAAAGAAAGGGAGATATTAGGGAAAAAGACACGGCTGTGGAGGAAAACCTAGGTCGATGCTGCGGCTACCTGTATCACTCATTTCACGCGGAAGCCAATCACAACATTCTCCCTCTAAGTATAGCCTCGGCCTTCCTCACTTCTTTCACAGCTCCAATAACGAACACCTGCATGGAATGGACATAAGGCAAATAAGGAAACATAATTCAGCGCGAACAACATAAGACGGTTCCCAGTATGAAGCTCTTTGTATCCCTAAATTTCTCCTTGTAAAGTTAGACCTAAATTGCCAGCGTACAGAGCAAAAAGTGTTGGCAAAATTATCTACCTTGTCAGGGGGACCTTTCGCGCCACCGACAAAAATATCAGCCCTGCATGTCCACGCGACGAATGATCATAAGTGGTATCATGGATGGCAGCGGGGACTTCTACTTACTGTTCAAAACCTTTGACGCATTTGGAGGGGTAGCATGCTACGAATTCATATAAAAAGAACTTGAAAGGCTCCCTCGACCCCTAAAACAAAATAAAGCGAGAGACGAAAGCTGGAAAACATTAACCAAATGCCCGAGATCGACCCCATTTGTACAGCCATCTGGTTTCGGGTTGGCGGGACGATCCATGTTGTTTCATAGCAAAAAGAGCTGAAGCCTAACTTTCGATCAGTGTTCAAGAGTCTCTGCGCCATCCGAAGAGTAAAATTACCTGCAAGACTGTTTGATAGAAAGGATTGAGGATCCTTTCTTGCCGATGATACGACCCATCTTTCCGGGTATGACATCGACCACCGCCAAAACTTCCTCCTCAGGAGATCTCCCTTCGCCTTCTCTAAGAAAGTCTGGAGAAACATCAAAGTTAATAGTTCTCTACTGATGCTCCCGTACTTCTCTTAGTTCGCATCAAGCAGAAACTTTCGGCACATCTCGTTACCTGACAGAGGAGGAGGTGAAGGCCAGCCCACAAAACCATCACCTGTAGCACAAAAGCACCTGCAGTACAAAGCTCCCCTAACATTGAGCTGCCACATTGAATACTTTTGCAACTGTGTTATCATCTTGTGGTGGATGCAAAGAAGAAATCGAACGTCGTCAGCTGCAACACGCGTCATCATTTCAGTCCAGGGTCTGTGGGTCCAGAATTGCGGATCCTGGTCAGAATTATGAGCCGCAAGTTAGATCCCAAACTTTATGTTCGCACTTCCGCCAAAAGCTAGCCATTTCTTGCCCTACCATATATTTTAATCAATACGCCAAATCTGTGGGACCCCGGCAATGACTTTGAGGGGTAATCGACTCCTAAACCCATGAACTAAAGGAAGGCTTCTTATGTCTATATATCACGCTTAGATGTGAAGCCTGCTCATGTGCACCTTTCACTTAATACAACCCGCAATCTAGAAGTTTTTTCCAGATTGAGGAGAAACTGCTACGTAACTGAATTGTTTCCGACAGTCTAGTGGTACAACTAAAAACCTATGAAGCTTTTACCGAGACAACATGCAGATAGTATAATTGGAATGCTAAATACAGGATTCTTTGATATCTAAATGACTTCGACGTGCAAGTGACCAAACTGGCGGCTGAAAAGGAAAGCAGCAAAAACGAAGGAATAGAATACACGGTCCGAACCTTCTTCAAAAGGCTTCGAACTTCTTCTTTCTCGTCATACACCACACCTGCACATGATCAAATCTTCAACAGCTTTAATACAAGTTTTGGATCATAGTACAAAGGCGACAAAGTTACTTATGACAAATAGATTTCCACATTACGACATTCAAGGGCAACCCCCATCCTAAATAAGATCTCGGAACTTGCATTACGCAACATTGCAAGGGTTTAGTTCACGAACCAACTAAAACAACTTAAAGCTGCTCGTAAATGTAAAATGGAACTTTGAAAAGTCGAAAATTTGATTTTTAGAGTGAAAGAAACAGCACCACAATAGCGTTCGTCGGAAAGTAGATCCACGAATGAGATGTAATCATCGGGCACCCACTTCTTCCCCTGCTGCTCTTCAAGAAGGGTGTATGCAATCTGATAACATAGCAGGAATGAAGATTTCCACATGTCAAAATAACACAGTGACGAAAGTGCTAAACATACACATACCTTAAACATTTTTCCCTACCTCATAGCCGTTCAACTATCTACCTACCCATACGAAGCACACGCAACACATAGTCAAGTAGCGGGAGAGGAAAAATTGCCTGAGTGTCAAAGACATTGTGCAGCTTGATGTCGTACTGGAAAAACAATGCCTGTGAATTCAGGAGCAATAACCACTGTCAACTACAGTAAACACATATTGGTCTTCACAACGGGAGGAATGCGAACTTCGCTTTCACAACAGAGTTCAAACTTCCATGCATCAATCGAAAGTTCTAACTCCAGAGAAGCTCTAAAGTTTTGTCAACTTTCCCAAGCAGTTCGAAAAAGTCAAAAACATTGTACGCGCTAAAGTGTGCCTGTCATAGCCTGAAGATCGTAGACCTGGTTGAGCGGTGCTAATTAAGAGACTATTTTGAGAGTTTCTAAAGCTAGAAAATGAGGCAATTTATAAGACCAGAAAGGTGAAAGTGACACATACCTCACTGTCGCGTTTGCAATCATGCACCACTTTTGTGATGTGTATGGACTCAAGAGCAGGCTTGCAAGCTTGCATCAGCTCGTAGCCGCCCTCAACAGCATCCACAAGGTATACCGCATCTTCGAAAGCCAGCTGGAATCAATCACAATGTATGCACGCTTGTCCTCAGAAAATAAGAATTGAGGCTTTCCAGATCATCAAGGGATTGGAGTAAGAAAAAAGACATGACTGGAAGTTATTGGTTTAACCCTCTACTACCAGAAACAAGGAAAACTACTGAAAGCCAAAGTCTTGCTCTTCAATGGTTGGTGCGGACGAGCACAATAAATAAAACTGGATAGCCATTAATATTATGTACAAAGTGAAGAAACGAGAGAAGAGTCCTGAATACCAAACTTATAAAAAAAACGTCATGAAAGAACCCTCTTCAAATGTTGTTACCCACATCGATCCCGAGAGAAAATACCTGCATGATGCAGAGGCGGCCATACCGGGCTAGATTTACACCCTCACAATCGAATCCGACAATCAGTGGGTTTTTTTCATCAGGATGAAGGAAAGCTGGTGGTAATTGTGATGCTTTGGTAACAATTGTCACAGGAACAGGTGCTAACCACTTTTCTACTTCCAACGAGTTACTGCGACTCCTGCACCCTGCAAAAGTAAAAGAACGTCTTTAAGCACCAACCACCTACAGAAGGAAAGTCACTTATAGAGAATAATCACAAGTGACGTGCAAATAAATAAAGCAAGAGTAGCTCAGAGCATATACAAGCTTGACGGAACAGTAAGACCACAGTGAAAGAATAGACGTTCACATGTGTGTTGCAGCCAAGTTAGATATCAAACTAGTCAACAGGCACAAACAAAAGTCCATTTGTGAGGTATATGGAGTATGAGAGAGTCCCTGTGTCGAGCAGCAAACAATAGAAGAAAACAAATAGCGGATGGCGTATATAAGCGTTTTCCTCCACAGAGCAAGCCGTTGTGAAAGCTCAGAAAACAAAAGCAGCATAGACATTCCCCAGAGCATAACGCAGAAACTGAAAACAGCTAGGCATTGTCCCGAACGTAACGTAAGAACACCAAGCTAGATACTTAACGCTGTGCAAAAATGGAATGAAAGAACGGAATTCTTAGCGCTCTTGTGTGAGCCAGAAGTTCAAGCAGTAAGATGATGTACATGGAAAACAGTACAGAAGTCGCTACGACGGACAGTCACATATTAGCGCCAGAACTGCCCAGGTACTGATTATGAGTTCCGTATCCTGCGCTGCCAAGAGCATTTTCAAACAGGGTGAAGTGTTGCAAATGAACCCGAACAGTTTCACACAGTGAGACAGCGCATGATGCCTAACATTTTCACCACAACAGTGAAACGATTTTCGGCTCCATGCTACAGGGAGGGCCTCCAAGGACTTTCTTTCAAGTCCCTAGTTTCTGACAGCAACCTTCGTGGTGGTTGAGCCACAACGATCATGTTGTATATACATTTCTAAAACTTCATATCGCAGCAGAACCTAACAAACTTGATTGACAGCCAATTACAAATATCCGAAGACAAAATCAAGGTACCAAAAAAACACTCATACAAGTCAGAAGAAAAGGTACCTTCACTATGAGTCTTAAAAAATCAGGAGACATCTCTATACAAACTGTGTGTCATTGCCCAACATTAAATAAAATTCACATGGCGCACAGATCCACACTGGCTAAGTACACAGAGCAAGACTCAGAAACTCAACCACCTGAACCCCAAGAGGTCCTGCGAGTCGAGCTAAAATACTGCAAGTGCTCTTTGGAGACTGCTTCGGTGGAGTAACGTAGTACACCAAAAATGACCAAAACGACATGTTGATACTACATAACTATTTCTTGCTGGTTAAGGAGACTCAAAAACCTGAAGAAAAACATACAACTTTATATGACTATCAACATTTTTCATCCTTCCTTAAGCAAGATTGCACTTTGATATAACAACAGTGCAGCGTAAAGATGACACTCGGTGGATTGGTCAAGGGAATGGGGACCATCGGCGATTGGGCAAACAGAATCAGGTTGCTTGATCACCATACATCCTGCGACTAAAAGGACCCACAGAACCAGGTGGAAATGAAAGTGGGAGACTGCTCACATACTAAAATCAGGGTTCCAAATGTAATAATTATCTTGAGATGATTTAAAGCTCATGGATTGGACAGCTCAGTGCTACGTTAGGCTATAAACTTGAGAAATAACGATATTTTCACTTTAACATTCGACTCTCGTCTGATCAAGCCCCAGCCACTCTCAAAGATGAGTTACAAGCTTGATGCAAGCCGCATAGGTAAGCAATCGAAGCACTAAAGGGGAAGAATAAGGAGCATCTTGTGCGCATAAAGTCGACGATGTATGCAATCCAATATAAAGTACAGATATGGCTTCGAATACTGGCTCCAACGTGGCGGATTTACAAAACGCTGTGGTAACCGCTGACAGGCAAATCTTAGATTAAGTCAACCTACGTGCCGGATTGACTTCAAATCTGTCAAGCACGGTGTGCATTCTCGATGACCACTTTTACATGATTCAAAATACAAGAAACCCCTGAAATGCAAATATCAGATTTGAATCCAAACATCCAGCGACGGTCGTAAAAACGGCAGTCAGGAAGGTGTTATCACGATCTTGCAATGCCGTGGCGACATGCATCATCTTAAGCCTCCCCTCACAAGAACTTGTTACACTTGGTCTGGAGAAGACGTCGTAATTTTAAGGTTCGATGCCTCCTCTCGAGCGACAATACACAGGACTAATGATGCAACTTCGGCGCTGAGCCACAGCAAGATTTGGGCAGATGCCCTGCACTCCATGTCAAATAGTGCTCATGACGGATCGATTGCAAGGTCCATGCTGATAACTCCTCGAAGTTAAGTAGGCGCCCAAAATCCACAAATGAGCGATCTCCTACCCTCAGTGAAGCCCAATTACTAGCTCCTCGTGTTCGCCACGGTCAACCTACACCGGGCAAGCATGTAGGGTGCTACCAAGCTCATCCACGGAAACACAAATTCCTCAAAACCATGAAGCAAGTCCAAATTTCCAGCAGCTTCCGCAATCTACCTCACGAGCCCAATTTAATCTGAGCCTGATCTGACGTTAGAATGATCCGAGCCCGCGGATAGACGACGCGCGCTGCAGCGAACACACTGACAGATAGAACGAACAAACGTCCAGGCAAACAGACATTCGATAAGAGTGGAGGCCGGAATCGAGAAACGAACCAGGAACGAGGGGCACGGTGGGAGCAGCGAGGGCCGGGTCGGACGAATACTGGGACCAGGGCGACAAGCAGGCGGACAAGGAGTCCGCCATCGCTGTGGAGAAGCTCATTCATTCATGCTGCAAAGCAAGCGCAAAGCACTTTCTTCGGTCCGTCTGGAAGTATTCTACCTCCTCCTCCTCCTCCTCCTCTACCTCTTTCGCCCTCTGCTTCGCCTTCTCCCTGTCCCGCGCCTCCCTTCTTTCGTGCCCTCCTCCTTCCGTCGGCCTCCTCCTCCTCCCTCCCTCCCTTCCTCGGCCTCTCGTAGCTGTAACCAAAATCTCACTCACACCTCATTCGCCTCAATCTCTCGGCGTCAATGCGCGATTCCTCTTCTTATTTTAGCACCTGCTACAGTTTGGCAAGGGGCCGGCCTCGGCCATCCCTCCCCCCTCCATTTGCTGTCACTTGACCCACGCTTGCACGAAACCAAACACCCTCGTGCCTCGATCCGACGGTTCTCGCCCGCTCCCAACATGCACAGCTCCGATGTCGTCTTCTGCTCCTCTTTCTCGCCTGCCCGCTTTCCCCTTCGCCATCTCCGATCTCGTCTTCGCTTTCGCGTTCTCGTTCTCCTCCTCCTCTCCTCCATTTATCGGTCCACTTCTGCCCAACTTTGCAGCCATTCGTTAATCTGAATGATTTCTGGCTTGTCCGCGTCTAGAGCATTACATGAGTGCAAGGTTTTATAAAATTTCCTGTTATCTGTTATGCGATACGACCAAAACAACGTTTGGATTTGGCTTGAATTCGAAGGCATGTGTGCTCTCATGGGGCCTCGCGTGGGTGTGTATTTCATGGAGCGGTCTGCCACCAAGGCCAAGGCTAAGACGCCAGAAATCAGAAGTGGACAAAGTCTAACTTCTTGTAAAGTGTACAGATATTGAGACAGAATAAAGGAAAGTGAACACTAGAGGGTCGCATTTGAGGGGAAACATTATGGCAAAAAGTGCCAACATGAAAAAAGTAATGGAAAATTGAGACCAACTACTTATAGAACCCAAAATCATTTGGGTATACGCTTGGGGAGGAAAATATACACCACTTGATAACTAAACTGTGGGATAGAGAATGTTTGGTAGAGAATGGCCACACTCTGATCAGTATCAAGTCCATATATGAAAGAAGCAGAACAATTCTCTACCTTTGGCATCTTGTTTCTTCTTTCGAACGACTCCGTTAACGTGTTTGATGTTGCAAGCCGATAGCAGCATATCAGCACCGGAGTTGAGTGAGAAAGACAAACTAGGGTTATTTTTAAACTGTGTTTGTTACTTAGTCAGTGTACGGGCATGGGTAAAACTTTGCATATAGTTATCCATCTTCGGAGGAGTGAATCCAAACGTAATTCTCAATATAGCCAATAGAGACAACATTAGATCAACTATGATGTTGTCTGGTACTCGTATGACGTGGTTAGTTGTAGCGTGGTTATCTTGGTCATGAAATCGACTGTGACGTTCCAGATGCAATTCTCGATATGACTGATGTAAACTACACTACATTGATTGTTTCATGTTCTTGAAAGTTTATTATGTCCAGTGTTTCCTGAATGAGAACAAGAAATAGTGAAATAAATATACGAAGTTTCGAGAGATTAAATAAGTAATTAATGGCTATGATTGCTGGAATTTCATTTATTGTATTAATGGTGATTGATTGTATACTTTTCTCGCGCATGACCTGTCTGGGTGACCGATCACCTTAATGTGCCATTCAGGTCAACGTTATGAGCGATATCTATGTGCTCCTCATTATCCAGAGTATTGTTTGAGCCCATGGTATATTGTACTCTTCCGCTCAATTCGCGTATCAAAGTGCATACTCGTGATTGCTACCACACACTCTTCATTTTTCTGAAGAGTGAGTGGTAGCAATCACATAAAGTAGATGTTATTGCGAGACGAAGGTTTAATATGTTTGAAAGTAGTATAGTGATCATCCAAACGGGACGCCAAGCACTCTAGCATCATTTTAGTCTAAATTTAAAGACAAGAGAGAGTATTTCGTTGTTATAGATGTACTATCAAAAATTTTTATATTAAAAAAATTCGAATTATTTTTTCTTGTGCTTTAACAATAAATTGTGATAAAAAAATAAATTGAATCATTAGCAAAGATATATTCAGATGTATACTTCAAAACAAAATTGTAAATAGAAGAAATATTTATTTTAACTCTATACATTCTAAGAATATACATTCTAAGAATACATAACCAACAACATTGACTCACACATTCAACACGTCAAACAATTTTGTCTATATTTTTCATAATTTTTTATATAAAATTCGTTATATTATCATGAAAATTAGTAAAAATTTATTACAACATGACATAAAAGTTTTAAAATATCATGAATGACTATACAACAAAAGTAAATTTAGTTTCATTTCATTTACAATGTTAAAATAATATGTGGGTATTATAAAAACATATTGGAATCATTTGGTAGTGTCAAAATTGAAAATACAATTCAAACTAAACTTATAAACGCGTCTGATAAGCATAAAATTTTTAAGCTATCAACACACATAAAATTGAATATCTAAATAATGTGAAATGTTATTAGATTAATTTTATGATAAATTGAATATCAAAATCAAAAAAGTCTTCGTGTGAAGGCATAAACGTGTTTTTTTTGGGAAAAAATAAATTTTTTATCTTCTATCAAATAAATATACAAAATTTTATTCATCAATTTTGAACTAAGGGTTGTGATTAGTTGTGATTGGAAGAATTTTAATGGTTCTTTGACATTTTTTTCAAGTACAAACCTTTTATTTTTATCGTTAATGGACATTATATTTTATGCTGCTTTTTATATCACATAAATACATTATATTCAAGAAAAATAAGTTAAGTTGTGAAGTCGATGATATAAGTGTATAAAAGCCCTATGGTTTGCAACTTTGGATATTTGGTGGAAAATTTTATATGTTTACATGACAAGTCTAATTGTTTTCATTCATTATTGTAAGTAGAAATTTCATATTGCATTCCAATATATCCTCTCCATGAATTTTCATTGGTGATCTTAATTTTCAGAAAGCTTTCCATGAAGAATTCATGTGATGTTGCACTTTCCATCTATTTTTGATAAATTTTTGAGAAATTACATTATATCATATGTAGACAAGATCATCTACATTCATCAAAATTTTCCATTCTAATTTTTCTTATGTGTCACAAAATAGTAATTTTGAGATTTGATTGAAAATTATATTTTTCAAAAGATTCTGAGAAATGAATTTTTTATTGTGTATAAAGTGTATGAAATGATTGTGTAAATTTGTGTCACTAACCTTATATAAAATTTATATAAGATTTCAAGTTTCTCAATTCATAGATCATAAAGATGAATAATATGCATCACATATAAAATTAGTCTATTTGAGAATTTTCTTTATTCTTGAATAAAAAAATTTTAATTTTAATTTTTAATTTGATATTTCTGTGTTTGCATCACTTATTATTACATCTGCACTGTATGAAAACAAAATCCATAATTTTAAACTAAAAAATTGATTATTTGGTGCATTATTTATTTATTTATTTATGTCATGCAATCAAAACTTGTTAAATATCAAATTTAAAATTTAAAATTAAAATTGTAATTTTATAATAAGTCACACAAAATTGGATCAATGTTTAAAATTTTAATTTTTGATAGGATAAAAACTAACTCTGTAAAAAAATGAATATTTATATTCGTGACATATTTTTATTTCTCTTGCAAATAGAAAGATACTGTAGATTGTTGTTATTTTTTTTAAGAATTTAAATATTTTATTTTGTTAAAAAAATATCTGACTTCAAATTCAATGACAAAGTTTTTAAAATCCAAAGAGTACAGAAGTATTTGATGTAGTTTATTGTTTATCTATAAGTATGTTATCTTGATTTCAGTCACATCATAAGTCATGTAGAGGGAAATTCAATTCAATACATTATATTTTTTCATGATATAAAATTTATTTTGGTATTTTTTAATTTATTGATTTAAATTTTAAATGATATAGGACTTTTCTTAGTGTTTACAAAATATTAATAAAAAATCTATCAAAATAAAATAAATCTCTGATAAAAAATTTGTTGATTCTTCATTTCAACTCAAAAAATATATTCATAATTGTTGAGATAGATTTTATGTATAAAACATAAAACATACTTGTTGATTATTTTTGTCTTTATGTGTGTTGTATAACTTAAAATTGAGTCTAAGATTAAAAAAAAACTTAAAAAAAAAGAAGATTCGTTGTGCAGTTGTGAGAAATAGAATTACATAATTTTCAGAAAAATATTAGTTGGTAATAATGAAATTAAAACGATTGCATTTGACACAAATACATCTTTTTATTTGAGATAAAAAAAATACTATTGTGACACTTTGTGACCATGACTTGTGCTTTTGAGTTTTAATTGGAAGTCTTCTCACATCTGGTTTTGGGATTCTTCATAATTCACTGGATGAATATTTGTGTTGTGTGGCTAGTTTGACAATGAAGTACAAGTTCATACGATGAACATTTACGACTATCAACATATATTCTCCATCACACTATAATCACTATATACATAAAGTGATCCAAAATGGCGAAATAAAAGTCCCTCTGTTTCACCATATCTATGGTCAAGATATTGTAAATATCTGGTTCAATTTATATCTTTTATGAATTGTTTATCATTTGCATGTGAAGGCATGAAGCCCGATGGACTTCGATGAGGTTCGGTTGGGTAGCGTCACTTTAGATTCACCAAACGTGCAGTATGTATGGTTATTAGAGAATATATTCAGTAGAATTATGAGGCTAAAATGAAAATGGAAAGTTTATCACGAGTGTCTTGGTTGCAGTACCTCGTTTGTCCTACACTCTACTTAGAGCCGATGGCTTTTCGTAAGTGGTGCACTGTTGCAAATCCCTGACCTTTCCATCGTCAACTACCTTCCGGCCTCACAACCTTGTGTTCCTTGAATGCACTACTCATGCTTAACCTCTTTCTCTTTCATTAAAAAATGTCGGTAATTGTTTTCTAGTGTCTTCGAACTTACTGATAGCGTTCTCGCAATGTATTAGCGTGTGCCTTATATAATAATAAGGAGGAAAACCATATTTATAGATGTTCGAAAGACCACGAGCTCACGTAAGCGGTGAGGTGATACGACTTGGACGTAACGTTCATTGAGGTGAGCAAGGCTAAAAATAACGGAGGGCCGAAAGAGACAAACGAGGAGGAGAGAAAAGCTGCCGGCCAGATCTCCACCGAACTATTAACTCGTTGACTCCAAAAGAGGAGGAGCCAAAGGAAGCGAGCAGATGGGACGGAGAGAGAAGACTTTACTTCAAACCGACGGAAAGAACGGAAGGAAAACGATGAAAGTGGCCAACGCCCGTCGGAATAGAACGGGCATAACCCTAAAGTGTGGGTCGCCTTGCGCAGGAGCACGCTGGACCAAGTAACGGGTCGGGTCAGAAGGCAAGGGAAGGGAAAGGAAGGGAAGGGACGGGACTCCAGGGAAAGGGGTCCGGAAGGAAGGAAGGAAGGGAGGGAAGGAGGGCGCAGGCGAGACTTCGGAAGCTGCGAGTGATCTGATCTTTTGTGCGAGCGCTGTTGTGTCTGGCATCGTGTCCGGTGCGTTGTTCTGCTGCTTCTGCTTGTGCTTGTTGTTGTTGTGTTGTTATTGTTGTTGCTGCTTTGCTTTCTGGGCCTGTGCTTCGCCTCACGCCTTCACTCGCGCCTCACTTGGCTTGCGTTCTTATACATTCTTTCGTCTCGTCCCATCCCATCCCACCCCATCCCCCGTTTTTCTGACGGTAGTGGCGCCGGGGCGGGTGTCTGGCGTTTTTGGACTGATTGATTGATTGATCGAGGGATCGAGGGATCGACTGATCGAACACTCTGCGCGCAGACGCACGCACGCGCGCACGCACGCGAGCACGAAGCAAGGGAGGGGCGACCACGTCCGCGGCCACACATTCGAGGAAGGCGACGCAAGGCAGGCGAGAGGGAGTTGCATAGTCGTAAGGCGGACAGGAGTGTGTAGGGATTACGGGCGGGTGCGAGTCGGAGAGCAAGGAGGGCAAGGAAGGGCAGGCAGGAGACGGAAGCGGGGTTCGAGGGAAGGGAGGGGCGCGACGCTAGACGAGGAGAGCGAGTTGGTGGTGTGTGTTTTTGGAGCGAGCCCGAGAGGAGGGAGAGAGGGAGGGAAGCAGTTCGTCGCCGGCCAGAAGGAAGGATGAATCCCGAGTATGATTACCTCTTCAAGCTCTTGCTCATCGGAGACTCCGGAGTAGGAAAGTCATGTTTGCTTCTCCGGTTTGCGGATGATTCGTATTTGGAGAGCTACATAAGTACGATCGGCGTGGATTTTAAAATTCGTACGGTGGAACTGGATGGCAAGACTATCAAGCTTCAGATTTGGGATACTGCCGGCCAAGAGCGCTTTAGGACGATCACGAGCAGCTACTATCGCGGGGCTCATGGAATTATCGTTGTGTACGATGTCACAGATCAAGAGAGCTTCAATAACGTGAAACAGTGGTTGAATGAGATTGACCGGTATGCAAGCGAGAACGTGAACAAGCTGTTGGTGGGCAACAAGTCAGATCTCACCAGCAAAAAGGTAGTCGATTCAGCGACTGCTAAGGCGTTTGCCGATGAAGTGGGAATCCCCTTTTTGGAGACCAGTGCAAAGAATGCCACGAACGTGGAGCAGGCGTTCATGACCATGGCAGCGGAGATCAAGAATAGGATGGCGAGCCAACCGACCATGAACAGCAGCAAGCCCGCGACAGTGCAAATGAAGGGCCAGCCCCTCGCCCAAAAGCAAGGCTGTTGCACATGATCAGCTCCGAGGACAGGGGGATCATTTGGCGCACTCTTCATCATTCAAGTTCGTTCTTAGTGTTCAAACTTGCTCTCTGGTGCACAACGTTCATCGATTCTTCTCCTATGTTGGTCATGTACATTCCACCACCTTATGCAGTGGTCTTAAATTGTGCACCTTGTCTTGGCAACGTTTGTACCTCGACAGCATTTGTCTTGTTAGGGTTCTAGTATAAGATTGCACTTCCATATACGGAACTCTTTGGTACTTTATTCAATTCTTGTTTCAGCTAGGATCCTGTGAGGCTGCGTATTACACCTGCATATAGTAGCCATTCCTTTGTATCTCAAGGCACCGCTAGCTGAAAGAATGCGAGTCCCTTAATTGGGGAACTCTTGCCACTCTCCAAGCATTTTGTCATAGGTTATGGCTCTCCTTCAAAAGGATACATCAGACATAGGTATAGAATCTGTCAGATTACAAGGAAGGGTTTTCTTGACCTCACTTGCATTCGATTGTGAATATAAGCACGGACTCTATTGCATACTCGCATTTACTCTCCTTCTGCTCATTTCCCTATCCTCTATTTCTACCCTCGCTATTCTCCTCGAGTGTTGGTGATTTCGTGTATTTCTTCTCTCCGTTTATTTTTTCGTCCAAAGCGACCTCATTTTACATTTAGAAATATGAATTCTAGATGCAAAGCTCTTGATTTGGCCCTGCTTTCCAGATTTCTCCATAATCGAAGGTTTCAATCATGAGTCATTGCCGAGCGCAGACTAGTGTTGGGGCAACTTTTCCATAGCTACTGGACCTTTCTGGTGCACACAATTTTCTCTGTTGGTCTATGTGGCCAGCGTTTGAGACAGACTATAATTCTTTGTTCACCGAAAGCTGTTTTCAATTTGAGGCAGATAGGAAGGATTTATGAAGTAAAGAAATGTTCAGAGAATACTTCTCCGTCAACTTTGGTATTTTCGCGAACAAGCACCGACTTGCGGAATTCCCAAATGGATGCCAGCGTCAGTGCAAGGTTCTTTTAGTTTTTGTTCTTGATGATTCCAGCAACGAAGTGCGTCATTCGTTGCTGCCAGGATTGTGTAGAGCGGACGTATTGTTTAGAGCTGAATACAACCGGGCTTCAACAACTGGTGGGTTTTTTTTGTGTTTACAACACAACACGAGCATTATCTTCTCTAGTAATTTTTCATCTGTCCTGTACTAACCACGCCGTTCGACCGGTCGCATTGAAGCATGCTTTTCTCCAGCCAGCCGGATGCATGACAATAAGCAGATCATAGTTTTTACCTTAAGCCATATGGACGATAACTCGGATCTCATCAAGAAATGCTTCCAGGTTCTGAGAGGAAAACACCAACGGATACTGTCTAGTTTAGTTCTACACAGAATTGCACGGAAATTTCTTGCAGGCTACGTAAGGAGAATTTGCTACAGAGATGTGAATATGGATGGAGATCTGTTGTGTATATTTGCCTTCATATTCGGGACGTGTCTTGAAAGGGATGATTGCAAGTGTTTCTTCTATTTAAACATTCGCCCTGTCATTCAGGAGAAGCTGGAGGCGAGCTTCCTCATCCACTTTTTATGTACATATTTTACAGTAATGAAAGTGTTAGATATTTCTGATACCGCAGCTAGTGGGGGTTTTTTGTTTGTTTTTGTTTCTAAGCTTCGACTTATACGACCACTGGCAGTGTCCCCCTTTCTCAGTTGTTTGTTTCTTACGGCTGGTGGTTAATTTGCCGCAAATATATCTTGTATTTCGCAGTCGCAAAGTTTTGACGAAATTTTACTGTGTTGCTTAATATTCACGGATAGTATACCAAGCGTGTCAAGCTTGTATTGATAGACGGCACCATTTCATACGATACCGTAAAGTGCGTTCCTTTTCCACTCTGACAAAGGTTATAAATATTTATCAAATTTTGGCATTGAATAGTCTGAAATGAAGACAAGTTATCAGTAAAACTCATTCGTCATGGTATGAGAGTGATAGCGAATCAGATCCCTATTGTCGAACGTGTCGATTGTCGAACGGATTATACAAAAAAAGGTGTTGGGCTTGTGGGAAGCAAGTCATTCTTGTTCGGCTGAGAGCGCGATGGCAAACTGAGAGTGGCGGTAAATGTCTCACGGCATTTTAATGTGGAGTTTGAAGTCTTGCCTCCAACAAAGACCCCGGAAGACTTCCTATTTCACCTCGAACGATCCTGATCGGACTAGTGCCTCTGCGTATCAAAAAGTAATCGTGCAAGTGGAGATAACAAGAATGAATTTCTTTTGTCAGTATGTCAATTCTCTGAATCTACGTTTGAGTTCCGACGGTAAATTCTCCATTCGAAAACTTGACCTCTCTTATATAGTTTCGGTTTGAATCGCATGACCATGTATATTTTCCTTGGTCGTTATCTAGCCTTGTGTAGGCATTTGAATGCATGAGGTAAAGCAGTAAGATATCTATTTCATTCCAGTAAACGACAGGACATATTTTGTCTTGTCGCAAGGAGTAGTCTCTTCCTGTGACCTGCCGTTGCAAATATGGTTTGAAGATTAGTGAAGTCCTGGCGATTTTCGCATTCATTGTTTAGGAATGGCATTCGCGTTGGCCAAATGCATCATTCCGTGAGTTTTAGTTTGCTCCTGCTTGATTGGAAGGAATTTGAAGTGTTGGTAGCTACGGCGTTTTCATTGTGATCTGTGTTGACATCTTAAATCTTGGGGTGTTGCATATGTTGGTTTCTGTAATTTGCACTTGGAGTTTGGGGTTATGAAAATTGTCATGGGAGTGGTGTTCTGAAAGTATATACCATCAAACAAAATTGTCGGATAAGAGAAAAGATTTCTGATTGGAGAGGGTTTCTTGTTGTTTTGTTCTTACTTTGTACTATATCTAGTCATGTAGATTGTGTTTAATTATGAAGAAATAATAGTTCGAAGATATATATTATAAATAGAGTTTATACAAAATTGAAGTGATTGTTTTTCTTATGATATATCGTTATCAAGTACTAACAAGAGAGATATGTAGTATATCTATTAGTAGGTTGAAATATCTTTTCAACTAGTGAAGTCATAATATACCAATTTCGTTTTGAAATGTTACTTAATGATCAATTTTTTTAAAATTTTTGGATTATATTATTTGGTTTGTAGATTTCATACTTTGATATTTTTTTTCTCTTGAGATATAACAATTATATTTTTTTGCTTCATTTTTTGAGATTTGGAAATTAAACTTATATATATATATATATATATATATAATCAAACCATTTATAAATTTAAAATTATTAACAAAATTTTTTTAATTAATTTGACATATTCAATCATATATAATTGATATTTTTATTAAATTTTTAATTATTTGATATAGGATTTTTTTTAGTGATGAATGCTAACATATTTATTTCTCATGAGATTTTTTTAATAATTTATAAGTCATACATATATAATTTCATGATTTGAAAAAATCACAATATTTTGATATTTTAACAATCTGTATTGATTTAATATTGAAATTTATCTCTACATTTATGTTAACTTTGATATTTATTTGTATCTTACAATAATCACACTCAATATACTCTCATATGAATAATATGGTATAAAAAACACAATTAAAAACCTTGCAAAGAAAGCATAAATTAGAATTTTCCAATAAGTTGAATTTTTTTTATTACATTATGCATTATGAATGACAATTGACACAAAAACATACATATATTTTTTATAACACTTATTCATAAATTACATTTATTATACTAAATTTTATCCCATTATGATAATTTTAATATAAATTTAATATAACATTTTACAAATAAATCATTTTTTTTCCAATACTTTTTTAAAATTTTGGCAAGCTGATATTACAAAATTACATGTTATTATTAAAATATATCATATTTTTATATATACTGTATTATGTTTACAATTCTTCAGACATAGTTTCAATCGATATCAAATTTTCAAGTGATAAAATTTATTATTTGAATTTAAGTTTCAATCGATATGAAATTTGATATGATATCATCATGTTTCAAATGATATATTTTATTATTTGAATCTCAGATAAATTTTTATTATTTACAAAAGAATGTTATAGATAACCTATAAATATTATATAAAAGTGATGACAATGAAAAAACAATGACACAATATATAGGTTGCATTGTATATATATATTACATTGCATCAAATTTGAACCTTCATCAAGTTTGAAATTTTTTTTCACAAAAATATAATTTTTAGTTCCTAAGTGGTAATATGTTATACAATTTTTTTTACAACACTATCACAATGATTGAATATATTTGTAGAATTTTTAATTTATTAATAAATTTAAATGTCTCAATTAATTTATCAAAATTCTCAATTTTGAATTAACGTATAGATTACAAGGTCAAATTTTCAACTCCGAATCATATTTTTGATTTTGATAGAAATATATCATCATAAAATTTTCAAAGAGACTAGTTTGATCAATCTCATACACTATTCACAAAAAAAATCATCAACTTTAGTCCCAGTAAAAATAATTTAAAATCTCAAAATTGACTTAAAGTTTAAATTTTAGCAAAATTTTATTTTAAAAACATAACAGAAACAATCTAAGTTGAATTTTGCTTGAGTATCAAGATCAAAGTTTTCAATCTGTCAAGTATGAAAAGATATTCAAAATTAGTTAATCAATTTATCATTTGAAACACAAAGCATGTTATTTGCCAAACACAAAACAATTGTTGTGATGTATTACACAAATATAAAAACAAATTTTTTCTCAAGCTTTAATTTTATTTACCATGATTCAAAAATCATTACATGAATGAAATAAGAAATGTTGAAGTATGAAATAATCGGTTAGTTCAATTTTATGATATCAAATTTTTTTTTTATATATTAAATCAAATTGGAAACTCCTTGATATAAATTTATAAACACAATCAATTGTTGAGGTTAATTCCGGTTAAGGAGTAACCTCAGGTTATAGTTATAAATAGCTAGGTGTGTCGCTGGCTTTGGGTATGAGTATACCCCAAAGGCTTCTACTCGAGTCTTCTTTTTTGTGTATTCAATTCTCAGTAAACCTGCTCAGTGTTCCAGCCGTGGACGTAGCCTTCGAAGGGTGAACCACGTTATATGAGTGTCTTGTGTCTTCGTACTTGGCTTGAATGATTCTTGGTTTTACGTTAACAAATGGTATCAAAGCCGGTTTTAGGTTCGGATCTGTAGTGAGCTTGTGTGCTGAAGGTTTTCTTAGTGACAGTTTCAGCTGACGGTTTTCTCACTAATAGTTTGTGTGTTGAAAGTTTTCTTACTGACAATTTCAGCTGACGGTTTCTCACGGACAATTTTGATGACAGTTTTCTTAGTGATAGGTTACACTTTAGTGATGGTTTTCAGAGATGATATTTAGTGACGGTTTTTTTTTTCTGACAGATTTGTAGTTTATGTCAATGATCGTAGAGTGACCTTGAGATGAATTTGGTTTCTAACGTTCTTGAGATTCTGTGACGGTTTTGAAGTTTCTTCGAGTTTGAAAAATTACTGTCGTATGGCTCGTATGTTTGGGAGACTACCTTGGTTGTTTTTCAGTGACATTTTGAAGATGGTTTTTTGAACGATGATTTAGTGGACGATTTTCAGAATAGTTTCTGACAAGTGACATTTTTTATTTTTATTTTTACGATGTTTTTGGGATTGACAATGAGCCCTAGCAATTGAAGTTGAGAGCCTCATTTTGCTACGTCCGTTTTAGGATTTATGGTCCCACGAAGTTTTCTAACATGTTTCTCGTCAGATTCAGAATCTGCGTTGAAGCTGAACGATCATCCTAATCAATTTCTTCTGTCGTCGGACGGCCGAGTTTTTAGAGCTTCGAGACGATTGAGTAACTTAGCGATACCTCGAAGTTTTTTCTGAATGGTATCCCCCGCAGAGAAGGCCGAGCGGTGAGCGGATAATTTTTTTCTACAATA